AGCACTATGTAGATGCCAGCTATTACCACCACTGCTACTATGACCACGATTGCTAATTGTTGGTTGGCCTTGATTCTCAAAGACGAACAAGGACATCAGGGAGCTGAAGTCTTGACATGTGAATGAACCGGACGTAAGTGAGGCAGAGCTGTGCAGTCATTAGCTTCACTCTCTCCTCCAGAATCATCGGAATCCAGCATCAAGACGTAGGTCAGGATGACTGGCGATGGTCCCAGAGGCAGGGGAGACCTCGGCTTTTTAAGCTAAGGTCTTTCCCAGGTGCTGCTAGCATTGCTACTATTGCTGCTGCTGTTGTTACTACTACTACTGCAACTACTACTACTACTACTACTACTGCTACTGCTACTGCTGCTACTAGTACTACTACTACTACCACCACATTAAGGTATTCCATAAATGTTGACTATCATTTAGTAAGAAATACTTAAGCACAATGGAAATCATCCACCCTTACCCTGTATATGTTAAAAGTTAACATATGGAAAGTGTTTTGCAAACATGAAAGCGCTACATAAATGTTAGCTATTATTGTTATAACTGAATCCCCCAAATCAGGACATGTGGTGTAGAAACCTTTCCTAAAAATCTACTTGCTTTTCTTGAAATTGGGATGGTCCCAGAAAACCAGAGGAGCATCGTAGTAAAGTGGAAATGGCACTGAATCCAGACTCAGAAGAAATCTCGGTTCAACTCTCACCCTCCACTCCCTGAGTGAGTCACTTCTTTTCCCTGCCTCAGTTTCCTCATCTGTAAGATGGGAATAATACTGTTATTATTGTGTAGTGCTCATACCATAGCACGGTGCTCATCTCATGGTCTCATGACTGAGACCTGGCAGGGAGCTCATAGTCCACCATGTCTACCCCTCTTATCTTACAGATAGAAGGAAACGGAGATTGGGCGATTGACTCAGTCACTCAGATTGTAGAGTGGCATAGTCAGAATTTGAACTCAGTTCTCTGACTCCATTCTACCTCAGTTGTTATATGGATCAAATGAGACGATCTGCATAAAGCACGGTGCCCACCTTAGAAAATGTCCATTACTGTGATGGACGGGTCGCTATAACTGCTGCAAAATAAAGAAACCTCTTATCTTTCTAGGCTAACCATCCTCCACAGTGTCTGGTAGATAGAGAAATTGGTTGTTTTCACGAAGGGAGATGATGGAAAAAAGACTTCCTCTCTTTCATCTTCTCTCCCACCACTCATGAAGTTGTCCAAAATTTTGCCTCTTGGACCACTGCCTCACTAAGCTTATTTCTAAGCTGTCACTGTTAGCAGTTTCTATTCTCAGCTCCCAAGTTTCCCAAACCTGGAGGTTGGCTTTGATCATGAAAACTCTTCACTTATTCCTGGCTCATCGTATAACCACGCTCTTTGCTTGGAGACTTTTGAGAAAGTCAGGCAATGCCCTCTTCTGTTGAGCCTCTTGGAAACCAATGGAATGTGTTGTCAGGGCTCCCTCTTAAGTCTTCCAAGGGCTCATTAGGATGACAGAAACTTGACCCCCAAACTTAAGGTCAAAAGTCTGCAAATTCGTTACCCCAAAGCAAAAACCCAAAACCCCAAACCCCAAACATCTAGAAATGCTTAAAATTTTTTAAACATCAGTGCCCTTGGAAACAAAAATGGACTTGTATTAAAGCATATGTAAGATTCCATTAACATTTTTTGTATAGCTGCATACATAATAATTCCTGTCACTACATATCGACTTAGTTCTAAATGTTGTCTGTGTTTTATTGTATTTTTAATATGTTTTTGTTAAATATTTCCCAATTACATTTTAATCTGGTTCCTTCTGAGTGTTTCAAAGTTTGACACTTCTGGGCTAGATAATAATACAATTAGGTGTTTTTTGAATCTTAAATGACTAATTAAAGAGTAGCCATTAAGGGCTCAATGTCAGCTTGGAAGGTCCCTAGTTATGGGACCCAGGGATCTGTGTTTGGGGCTGTATTGTTGATACTTTTACCAGTGACTTTCAAAGACACAGATAATATTTTTGTTTCAATTTGGTGATAAAACAAAGCTGGGAAGTATAGTAAACACAATAGAGGTCAGAGCCAGGATCCAGAAAAGATCTTGGCAGCCTAGAATCTAAGAAGAATCAATTAAATGGGGATCAGGATACATTTGGTCTAAAAATCAGCTTCAGAAACAGAAGCTGGGAGTGTGTGTCAGAGACCTGTCTGCAAGTTCAGGACGGGACAGCAGTGCGACAAGCCAACCAACCGAGGTAACGTGGGCTTCCGTCAGACGGTAAGCTCTCTGAGGGCAGAGATGATCTTGCTTTCATCATGCCCAGCAGAGCAACTGCCACACAGGAGGTGCTTAATAAGTGCTTGGCCAGTTTAATTAACCCCTAGCCTGCCTTCAGAGAGGCACTGTGTTCAGAACTGTGGATCCTAGGGACTGTGCCCTGGTCAAACTCCAACTGGGGCATCACTCCATCAACCCATCATTTATGGAAACTGGGCGGCTCAGTGCCAGGAGTCAGCGACACTGGAGCTCAAATCTGGCCTCAGATAATTACTAGCTCTGTGACCCTGGGCAAGCAGCTCAACCTCTGCTTGTCTCAGTTTCCTCAAATGTCAAATGAGGATAGTAAGTGCACCTCCCTCCCAGGCTCGTTGTGAGGCTCAGATGAGCTAATAAATGCAAAGCATTTAGCACAGCACCTGGCCACAGTAAGCGCTACCTAAATGGTAGCTTTTGTCATTATTATTAATACTTTATTAATTATTATAAATAATCATTTACGAAGCACCTACTTTGTGCCGGGCACTGTGCTGAATGTAGAAGGCTCCGTGCCCAGTGTTGCATTGAGGCTTTCTGCGCCACAGTTTAGGGAGAAGATGGCGATGCTGGAGAACCCCTGGAGGAGGACAACCAGGCTGCTGAAGGACCCCGAGATCACGTTGGAGAAACTTGGAATACGGAGCCTGGAGAAAAGAAGACATCAGCTGTCTTCACTTATCTGAAGGGCAGAGGATGGAAGAAGAATGAGCCTTGGGTAGGCACAACAGAGCCTAAGAAGGGTGAATGGGAGGAAGTCACAAAGAGGCCAAGTTGGGTTGGATCTCAGAAAACCCAAAACAAAACAACCTCCCTCACAATTAAAGAGGTCCTACCAGGGAATGGGTGAGCTGGGTAGGCCGTGGCTTCCCTCTCACGAGAGGTCTTCCAGTCACGACTGAATGGTCACATGTGGCTAGAGGGCAGAGAAGATTCCCTTCAGTTGGGGCTGCAAGGGAGGTGTGTCTCCAAAATTCCTCCCAACTGAGATTCTGTAATTCTGTGATACCTCAGGAGTACAGGTAATATTTGTCAAGCACTTAGCACAGTCCCAGGCATATAATGGGTGCTAAACCTCAAGGGAGGTTAAAAGGTATAAAGCACATTGCCAACCTTAAAATGCTATTAGTATTCATAACTACTTGTTGACTTCAGTGTGCCATATGACTGGCTTGAGGGGGTACCTTTCTACTGTTAATAGGGTAAGACCTCTTTCATCTAAAATTAGTCTTTTATTCTAAAAAAAATGGGCAACACCCTCAAACAGATCATCAGAGCTATGATTTGCCCTTAACATGACGGAGGGAGGTGAGGATCGGACTCGGTGTTTTCAGAAAACACCACAGTCTCTAAAAACTACAGAAATGGCAGCGTTTGGTATTTCTATATATACTTGAGCAAAGAATGCAAGGGAGGGGTAGGAAAATGGTGGGTAGGAGTCAAGAGGACTTAGGGGTCATCTCTTCCCTCTTTGCCAGGGCCAGGAGCTTTCTCTCCAGAAGCTTATTTTGGGAGGATCATCTTTTTGGAAGGGTTTCCTTTTTCAGGGGTGCTGTCTTTGGGGGCTCCCCATCCATTTAGAAAACTCATGCACCTTCCCTCTTCTTCCTTTTCCACCTGTGCTAGACTTGGCAGGCCAGGGACATCACATCAAAGAAGTGGTCCCCGACAGGCACCAGGCGAGCTAACTTAATTCCCTCCTATCTGCAGAAGGCTCATGTTTTTGGATCTTTAGGGTCACTGCTGAGGATGCCATTCTCAACTTCCAGAACCTGTTTTTTTCTGAATCCTTCTTGTGACATTGGCTAGCTGTGTGACCCTGGGCCAAGCACCTCCCTATTCAGCCTCAGTTTCCTCTTCTTTTAAGTGGGGCTAAGGCTATTGGTAGCACCCAGTTTCTAGGTTGTTGTGAGACTCACAGGAGATGATGCTAGTAGAAAGTTTTACAAAACATTGACGGGCTGTATTTCCCATCCTCAGCATCATCTCATTCCTCTCATTGTTTTGGGCAAGGTGCAGACAGAAGCAGTTCAAGGACAAACCATTGACATTAACCCACTTGTTTCGCTTAGTCATTGTTCGACAGACTCCTGAGCAGGCAGATCAAATACCTGCTGCGCCCCATCCTGTGCAGGTTCACCGAGAGCATTCTTGGGACCTCTCCAGGTGCGAGTAAGAGGATGGGGAGGAGGACGAGCCCCACAGCCTTTCCCCACATGGTTGTACCTTCTTTATAGAGTTTGTAATACACACACACACACACACACACACACACACACACATAATTTTTTGGCCTTCATATTTTGGAAACTTTTCTTCCCTGCACCTTGGAGATGAGGAGCACTTGGGATGGTGAGGTCTACTAAAATGGCGTTCTTAAGCATTTTTATGGGCTAATATTCTGTTTGGGGGATCATGGGCAGCAGTTTGGACTGTGATGATGCTTCATTTGGGGGCCAGGTTGCAGGTGGTGTTCTCCAGGGCATTCTAAGGTTGGAGTGTGGAGAATTTTACCCGTTGGTCCCTAACAGACAGCCAGCTTCTGATGGATAACTCCCAGGCACCAGGTCAAGTCTTTTTGACCTGCAGAGATGGGTAGTACAATTGCCATCATTTCTAATTATTATAAGTTTTTTTTCTTATTAAATACCTCTTAATTTTGTATTTAAATTAGTGTTAGTAGCTTTTATTAAATACCTCTTCCTAGAGGCAGTTTGGGTAGTAGAAAGTGTGCTGGGCTTTGTGTTACGTGACCTGTGGATGAGAGGGTAGAAGTGTACACAGGGAGGTCAGGTATCAACAGTATGGATGAACATGGGTGTCCTCAAGCGAATGAGCTGCTGCCCCCTTAGATGAAAGGGACAGCCCCTTCGCTCTTCTATAGCCAGCCCCATTAGACCGGTCCCCGTGACAATGACGTGTGGCCGCTTTCATATGGGGCTGATACTTCATGAGCCAGGCCTCTGAGGAAAGAACAGAAAGGGAAGACAATTATCTGCATCTTTGGGAGTCCACCAGAGGGAGAAGGAATTAGCGGTCTTCTTGATGGATGGAACACTGGGGAGGGGAGAGTCTTAGTGATCTAAGCACATGTGCTTGAGAGTAAGACCCAACTCTCACTTGCCCATGAAAAAACCGCAGGGCAGAGAGTTCTGCAGACAGTGGATGTCGGGAAGGGCATTTCCACGAAAGCCCCAACAAATAAAACACGTGATGGGCCCCATGTTTACTCTCCTCCTAAATGCTGAGTTTCCTGTCAGTCTGGCCCATTGCAGAGGAAGCTTGTGTAGGAGGTGATGACTGTGGGCATGCCAGTGTGTAGTAACAGCCGCCTCTGGCCCCCAAGCCAGGCTCACTGCTGACGGGGCAGCCACGAGGCTTGGGCTCCCAGACCATTTAGACAGACTCTGTGGGACAAATGGGTTATTTTTAATCCTCCTTCCTTGGGAATCAAAAAAGTGGGCAAAATCACTGAGTTAAGTATTTTGAAAACTTGCCAATCCTAGGTAAATCTCACTCTGGCTGGGACCAGTGCCAAGTGAGCTAGTAGGAACTGACTCCCACATCTGGGATTAAGAGGATTTTTGTTCAGTAATAGTATCTTCTACTTATATAATGTCTTTCATCCACAAGGATCTCAAAGCTTTTTATGAATTTAACCACTTTCATCCCCAAAGGGCTACATTTGTATCTGGGGTAAGAAAACAACAACAATGAAGAATAAGGAAGGCCCACTTGGAATATGAGAATCCTGCAGTGGGTGGAAATGATGGCGGCCAGATCTTGGGTCGTGCGATGGGTGGGAAGGTAGCCAGGCGCAGAGGGGGATCCTGCCCCATGTGGAGAAATGGGTGACCACTACTGGACTGGGCCTTCACCTCATATTTTTATTCAAAGGACAAAATTTTGAGAGCCCCTAGGTGGTGTAGTAGAAAGAGTTCTGGACCTGAAGTCTGGAAGACCTGAGATCAAATCCTGCATCAGACCCTTCCTAGCTGTGTGACCCTGGGCAAGTCACTTAACCTCTCTCTGCCTCACCTTCCCCTTCTTTGAAATGGGAATAATAATAGCACCTTATCTCCCAGGGTTGTTGTGAGGATCAAAAGAAGTGATACTGATAAAGCACTTGGCAAGCATTAGAGCACTCAGAAATGCTCACAGTTATTAGATATCTTCTACGTACACTGTGGTTGTCTGTTGCCTTCTCCATTAGGAGGTAAGCTCCTTGAAGGCAGGGACTGTTCTTGCCTTTTACTGTATCCCCGGTGCGTAGCACACGGCCTGACACCAGTCAGTGCTCTGTAGGAGCTCATTAGCTCCAGTTGAGTCTCCCACCAAGGTGGAATGAGGGCCCTGGAAGGCGTGATATCATGACCAAGGTTCTTGATCCGCCTTCTTTGGTTCACCTCCAAGTTTGCTTCCTGTAATTGCCATCCTACCGCCAGGACGGCCCAGACCTTATGCTCTCATCCACTCCATTTTTCTGTGTAGTCACAGTAATCTAAACAGGCAAAAGCTGTGTATTCTGCACAATATTACATGTTGCTTCATGTTTGGACACTGACATTTTCTCCTGCTGGGTTTTTCTTGATTTGAGTCAACAAACCAATTTGGAGGCAAGCATATTGCCTGTTCTTAAGCACAAAACAAATGCTTTTCAGCAGGAGGGAAAAAAAGGATTACTTGTGGTGGGAGGCTTGGCTATGAATGTTCATGTGAGGGTGGGGTGGGGTGGGGTGGCAATGGGGAGCTCAGGTCCCACATGGCAGCCTATGTGAAAGCATCCTCAGCCCCACAAGGCGATTCCAGATCCAGAGGAGATTCCCACGCACATTGGAAGAAAAGAGTGCCAGGTCACTAGGCAGCAGCTAGCCAAGAGCCTTTCTCTTGGTCAGTGAGACCCCTTGCTTAGGCTGCAAGGGTAACTGCTTTTTTCTGGTCCTTCCTCAGAAGCTGGTATATATGGATTGAGACCATGTATGCACACACTTACCTTTTCACTGCCCAGAGAGAAGGTTCCAGGGAGGCTGAACTTTACACACTCCAGAGCGGCATCTCTCCCAGAGCCATCTCAAACCAGCCTGAGTTCATTTCTTTTCTTCCTTCCTTCCTTCCTTCTTCCTTCCTTCCTTCCTTCCTCCATGCATTCATTTACTTGTCTATATATCTATCCATCCATTTATTCATTCATTCATCTCTTTATTCATTCAACCATTAATTTATCTAGTTATTCATTCATTCATTCACTTATCTATCTCTCCATTCATCCATTTATCTACCTATTTACTTATCTATTTACTCATCTATCCATCTGTCCATCTATCCATCCATCCATTTAACTATCTAGCTATCCATTCATTCACTCATTTGCTTATTTATTCATTCATCCATTTATTCATTTATCTAGTTATTCATCCATTCATCTATCTATTCATTCATCCATCTACTGTTTCTTTGCTTATTGATGCTTACCATTTAACTTCTGTGCACATGCCTCTTTCTGCATGTCTCTTGGCCGAGCATCAGGGCACTGAAGTAAAGACAACAGCAAGTGAAGACATTAGGACCGAAAGTAAGATACCAAAAGCGGCAGTGCCCCTCCCCCAAGCTGATAAGTTACTGTACGGGATTGATCTTCATTACTGTCCATGTGGTATTTTTTTTTCTTGTGGCTCTTTTCAATGAAAAAAAAATAATGAGAAACTTTAAAGGCTTGTTAACAATATCCTCTCATCAATCAAAGGCCTGTCAGTGCCCTGCGCTCACGTCAATTTTCACCTTCTTCCCAGCTACCCTCTGTGACTTGCTTATCCACTTTCCCACTGTAATAGAAAGATTCTTGTCAGAGCCGACTTGGGGTGATGGAGCCCAGACGCTCTCCATCTGTCTGCAGCTGGAGCCGCTCGGTCCAGAAGCCTCTGGACTCCTGCCCTCAGCGATGTCAGGCCAGGCCGTACCTGCAGTTTCTCCAGCGCTGGGCCTGGCTCTCAGCTGCCACCTCGACATTACTTCACACAGACGGGGGCTGCTCTGGATCCACCCCTGTCCAAAGCTCGGCTTCCATCTCAACATCTCCCGAACTGATAACGAGTAAAACTGACGTGAACTTTAGTTTTGGGAATGCCAACTTTTAATCCAATGCCCTCGAACCAGAGAAATACAGCCCAGTTCAGAGGCCTGCAGCAGGCCAAGCAGATTTACATCCTAATCGCCTCCATGCTACAGACTGCCCTTTTTTACTGACCCATGGAAATGAGAGAAAAGAAGCAAGGCCATTCCACAAACAGTGGGTGGCTGGACCACAGCTGGGCACACTGGTACTGATGGGGAACGTGGGGGGCTGAGGGGAAGGGGATGATTTTCTGACTGTTTTTCTGGGATCATCTTTGGAGTGAAGTAAATCAAATAACTTTACTCACTCTACCCTGCGGGCCTCTGTCTCCACTGCCTCCCCTATCCCCCATGTCCTGCATTAAGCCAATTTATTTATCGCTCACACACTGTCCAATGGGCTGCTGCAAACAAAAGGAGTCCTTAGCTCTCTGACCAGCTCCAGAGTTGGATGGGTGACCTGCCTATCAATACGCCCTGGCACTCCTGTTGTAAGCTGAGGTTAGTGTTGGGAACACTGTCCATTGTTGTCAAGGCCACCATTGCAGGAGAAGCAATGAGGAGGATGAAGAAGGGTGTGTGTGTGTGTGTGTGTGTGTGTGTGTGTGTGTGTGTGTGTGTGTGTGTGTGTATGTGTGTGTGTGAGAGAGAGAGAGAGAGGGAGAGAGAGAGAGAGAGAGAGAGAGAGAGAGAGAGAGAGAGAGAGAGAGAGAGAGAGAGAGAGAGAGAGAGAGAAGGGGCGCACTGGCGTACAGTCTTGGCCAAGGGCACTGTCAGCTCCTGGCCAGCATTTTAAACAATGCTATTATGTTTTTGCAGGATTCGGGCAGGGATTACAATTAAATCTGGGAACACAATTCTTCAAGGATTTTTACATTCCAACAAGAATTTTACTGAGCAATTACTCCTGAAATAGTACATAAATCTTCCTGGACTTTCCTTGGATTCCTGCACTTAAGTTTCTAAGCAATCTCTCTCTATAGATTTTTATTCTTATGCTGCATTTTTAAAGGCAACGAGTCAGGAGGAACATCTGTGTTCATCAACAGTTTGGGAAACACAAAAAAAGTTTCAGCAGAAATGCATCATTCTTATTCTATAATAATAATGAGAGTTAGCATATATCATCTCATTAAATGTATACTTTGCGGCTCTCAAATATGGTGCCATTAATAACAAAATTAATAACAGAGACTCACCTTTTTCTATATCACTTGAAGGCTTGGGAAGTGCTTTATCAAATTATCTCCTTTGAGTTTCCCAGAAATTTTGTGAGCAAGGAGCTCTGGTATTCCCATTTACAGATGGGGAAACTGAGTCAATCACTTAATCCCCTTAGTCTTGGGGTTTCTCAGCCAGTGTTTAGGGCTACATTTGAACCCAGATCGCCCTTACTCCATCCCTTTCTGCCATTGTATCAAAGTAGAAAAATGCAAAAGGTATAGAAATTAGCATCAGAGATGATGGGCCCCGTCTTTTGCATATTATTATTAGCCCACCTCTGACCTGGATCATGCCCAGTGACTGGACACCTACTAAGAAATAGGACATCTTTGAAATACTTGGAGAATTAAACACAGATCACCCTTCCCACTGTGCTCCCCAAAGTGCATTTACTCTCACCTTAACCCCCCCCCCCCATGGTATGGGTCGTGGTCCTTCTCTGCACAGTATTCTCACTTAATTATTTTAATTGCTGCTGCTCCAATGGAAAGCCCCCACCACGGTCCTCCAGTTCTGGGTGGGTCCGCACGCTCTCACACAAGCCTCGCTGTGTTGCTGCTGGGTTCCCACCACTTCTGGAGACTCACCCTCCTTTCGGTGTGATTTTATTGGAAAGCTTTTGTTTCCATGGGGGCAAGAGAAATGACAGCCCACTGCAGATCTCAGCCTCAAGGGCATCCGTTTCACTGGAAATGAGCTACCACCAAAACAAATGCTATTTCTGAATCTTTCCTTATCTTAGTCTCGGGAAATGGGCAACCCCAGCACGAGCCGGTGGCAGACGCCACCGCGCCGGCTGCCCTGGCTGCTCAGTGGCTCGGTGTCAGCAGTTCCCAGAACTCTGAGGCGGAGGGGAGGAAACCTGATCGGTCACTGGAACCCAATCCCGAGGCACAGAGAACTCCGTGCTCCTCCTGCACTTCCTGTGGAAGTGGACCTTTGCGTCTCCTCACACTCCTCTGGACAATCTCTCTTCCACCCACTGGCCAGAAGGTCTCCCCCTGGATGCCCGGGGCTTGTCGTGAGCCGCACAAGACAGTCGGAACCGGGGCCTCCAGTTTGCTGGAACCCTCTCAGAAAGCAGCGTCTGCGGTGCCGCAATGCGAGGGTCCACGTTGTGTTTTCTCAGCTCGGCTATTTTGGCCCGGTGACCCGGCATTCGCTGCTCAGCTACTCTGCGCAACAGGTATAGAGCTGTCACCATCCCACTCGCGTGTCTGGACCGATGACGGTGGCCGTCTAACAGAGCAGAGGGACTGGGCTAGTGCAGGAAGAGACTGGAAGGGTGCACTGGACGATGCAGGACGCATGGAGCCAGATGACCTGCCTTCTAACCAGAATGGCTCTGCCTCTGTGGCCTTGGGCAAGTCACAACTGCTTTGGGACATTTTCCTTTTCCATAAAATGAGGGGGGAGGTGATTTAAAGGATCTCTAAGGTCCTTTTATTATTGTTTTTTGGAGTGGCAATTGGGGTTAAGTGACTTGCCCAGGATCACACAGCTGGTAAGTGTCAAGTGTCTGGTCTGAGGTTGGATTTGAACTCGGGTCCTCCTGACCCCAAGGCTCTATCCACTTCACCACCTACCTTCCCCTCTAAGATCCTTTTAAGGTTTAAATCTGCGAGCCTATGACATTTATTCATTCATTCTGTATTCACCTGGTTCATGCCATCAGTGACTGGACCCCACCTGAGAGGCAGGGCATCTTTGCCCATTAATTCACTATCCATGCAGCTCATTCCTACTGGCACCCTACGAGTAAGAAGGAAGAAGGCTCCGGCACCCAGGGAGGCCCCTCCTACACACCCATGTCTTTTTCTGAGAACACTGAGGTTTGGGGTGGCTGACCCCCTCCTTCATTAGCATTCACCCCAGAGTGAAAACGAGTGCTTTCTGAAATTCCTAACCTACAAGGGCCACTTTTCATCAGCCCGGGAGGATGGCAACTCGTCTTTTGCCCCCTCAGTGGACCCCAAAGACCTGTCTTATAATATTCCTGAGGCTGTCGGGCTGAAACACTGTAAACAAGGCAACTGGGAGATTTCTGGTTGGGTTGCTCATTTTTAAATTCATTCTTAAAGAGGAGGGGGAAAAAGTGGTGAGTGAGGGTCTTCTGCACACTTAGTGGAGCCCATCCATGTAATTCTTCTTAACGACAGTGCCCTCTGTTGGAAAACACACAGCCAGAGAAGAGATAGCTGGGCCTGGAGCAGACAAATGAACTGGGCTCTGTAAACTCCCCCGGCTCCTGTTCATGCAACACCCCCGCCCCAAGCTCCCCAACCTCTGACCCAGCTTCAGGCAGCTGACCTCAGGGATTCCCTTTTCTGTTCTAAAGCATTTCCTACTAGACTTAGGTGGATGTCCCTGTCTTGGATGGGGAATCCAGAGGACGGCCTAGCCCTCTCTACTCACCTTCCAAATTAGTAGAAAGAATGCCCAGCCCTCCCATAATGCAGAGTGCACACAACCAGAGGGCGCGCTCTGCAGCGGCCACCCCCTGGCTCAGTTTTCTGGCTTCTCGGGGCAGAAGGCAGGCATCCTTCTCCACCCCCACCCCCGTGAGCTGGGCTGTCTCTGTCAACAAACCCAGCTGCCCAGCCTGGGCGCTTCCAGGAAGCTGGGCTGGGGAACTGCAGAGGGCCAAGCACAAGGAGGTGATAGAAGAAGGCCCGTGGTTTATTTTCGGAGGGGAACGTTCTGGATGAAAGCAGCAGTGCTTGGGAGGAGCGTTCAGGGAGCGGACACCTGGGAGCGAGAGCACGAGCCCACCTCTGCCGTCAGCGTTTGGCACAGATGAAAGCACCGCGCCTCTCCATTTTGGGAGGCCACCATGTTGTCTTGGGGTAATTCCTCGAGGTTTGGGCCGTGGTTTACATGGTCCCCAGAAACCTTGCCCAAAACTGCTGGTGGAGGGGGCCTGGTAGGACCCAGCTCGTCTTCTCCATCCTGCGTATGATTTTGTTTAGGTGCACACGTGCACATTCATAGATCCCTCGCACTTTCCCTGCCCAGCTAATTACAAAGTTAAAATGACAGCATGTTCAAGAAGGGTGCACTGTGGCTGGAAGCGAATGTCTGGAGATACCTCACCTACGGGAAAGGCCAGCAGTGAAGGCAGTCGGCCTCTCCGCCCGCCTTGCAGCTCTCGGGCCATGAACGGCAGGTAGAGTCACTGACCTCACCAGCTTCAGT